ATAACAGGAAGCACCTGACACCCTTCATCTGGTCTTCTTCCTCTCTTCCTCTTCTCCTCCCTCCTGCTGGTCCTTCCTCGTGGCCCACTCCGACTTTCGGGGGTTTTAGTCATGAGTCACAGAAGTCACTTCTAGCCAATTTAAGCAGATTAGTTTAGTAACCAGTACTGCACAGCTCAGAAACTCTCTGGGAAGCCAGAGTGCTCTCCCCAGAGGCCACATGGCCTGTAGGATGCCCCAAGTCACATGGCCAAACAGGGCTGGGAGGACTCTCCTGTGCTTAGCTGGGCACAGACAGTGCAGCTTGTCCTGTCCTGCTGGATGCTCCCAGGAGCAGTGTCACTGCTGTATCTGGTCCCTGGCAGGAGCTGACATTGCTTTGACACTGGCTTCAGGTTCTGAGCCTGGGGCTGGGCTGTCTGGGGCTAAGGCCACAGTCCTGACTCCAAAGAGGGCTGGGAACGCCCTGGGAGCTCCTAGAGGAGGGGGTAGGCTCTGCCTCCTGGGGTGAGGCATGCCCCAAACATAGGAAGGAGGCAATTCCAGTGCTAAGAGGCCAACAATAATGGTAGGTATTCCCTGTGCTAGCTTATTTATTTATTTATTTATTTTTAATATATTTTATTAATTATACCATTATATTTGTCCCATTTTTCTCTCCCCTTTGTTCCCCTCCACCCTTCATCCCCCTCCCACCAGCATTCCCCCCACACTCCTTTAGTTCACGTTCATGAGTCCTACATATGAGTTCTTTAGCTTCTCCATTTCCCATACTATTCTTAACCTCCCCCTGTCTATTTTGAACCTACCATTTATACTTATTCCCTGTATCTTTTTCCCCATTCTCCCCCTCCCCTTCCTCACTGATAACCCTCCATGTGATCTCCCTTTTTGTGATTCTGTCCGTTCTAGTTCTTTGCTTAGATTGTTTTGTTTCTGTTTTGTTTTCAGGTTCAGTTGTTGATAGTTGTGAGTTTGTTGTCATTTTAATGTCCATATTTTTTATCATCTTCTTTTGCTTAGATAAGTCCCTTTAACATTTCATATAATGAGGGCTTGGTGATGATGAATTTCTGTAACTTGACCTTATCTGGGATGCACTTGATCTGCCCTCCCATTCTAAATGAAAGATTTGCTGGGTAGAGTAATCTCGGGTGTAGGTCCTTGCCTTTCATGACTTGGAATACTTCCTTCCAGCCCCTTCTTGCCTATAAGATTTCTTTTGAGAAATCAGCTGACAATCTTATGGGAACTCCTCTGTAGGTAACTGTCTCCTTTTCTCTTGCTGCTTTTAAGATTCTTTCCTTCTCTTTAATCTTGGCTAATGTAATTATGATGTGCCTTGGTATGTTCCTCCTTGGATCCAGCTTCTTTGGAACTCTGAGCTTCCCAGACTTCCTGGAAGACTATTTCCTTTGCCAGATTGGGGAAGTTCTCCTTCATTATGTTTTCAAATAAGTTTTCAGTTTCTCACTCTTCCTCTTCTCCTTCTGGCATCCCTATAATTTGGATGTTGGAACATTTAAAGTTGTCCTGGAGGTTCCTAACCCTCTCCTCATTTTTTTTTTTAATTCTTGTTTTGTCATTCTGTTCTGGTTGAATGTTTATTTCTTCCTTCTGCTTCAAACCATTGATCTGAGTCCCAGTTTCTTTCCTGGGACTCAGTTGGTTCCCTGTACATTTTCCTTCATTTCACATTGCATAGCCTTTACTTCTTCCTCTTATTTTTTGACCATACTCATCCATTCCTGTGAGCATCCTGATCAGTGTTTTGAACTCTGCATCTGATACATTGGGCATCTCTTCATCATTTACTTCTATTTTTGGAGTTTTGGTCTGTTCTTTTATTGAGCCAATTTTTTTGTCTCCATGTGCCTTTTACATAGTAAGGGACACAGCCTTAGGTGTTCTCCAGGGCAGGGCAACCCACCTTGCTGTGTTGTGGCACTATATGTGGGGGAGGGTCTGAGAGGGAACAAGGCCACTTGCTCAGCTCTCCACTGGCTTTCAGTCACTTCCCCCCTACCCACAAGCAAATTGGGCCCTTCTGGTGCTGATTCTCAGTGGGTGGGTTTGTGTATGTTCTAGGACCCTGTGGGTCTCTCCAATGAGCTCTCCTGCGAGGCTGGGAGTTTCTCCCATCACTGCAACCCCCACAGATTTTTACTGCCAGAGGTATTGAGGCTTTATTTCCCTGCACTAGAACCCTGCTTTGTGCAGTCTGTCTCACTCCCCAGTTGTTCCTCCCAGTTTATCTTCACACAAATGCGGGGCCACCTGGTCCACCAGCTGCCTTGCCCGCCCCAGTTCTCCAGCTGCCAGGAGTCTTCTCCACCCCAACTGCTGGTCTCTGCCCCTCCTACCGGTCTGGATGAAGGTTTCTTCTTTAACTCCTTGGTTGTCAGACAAGGACTTAATAGTTCGATTTCCTGCCAGTTCTGGTTATTTTTTGTTTTTAAATTTGTTGTGGTCCTTCTTTTGGTTGTGTGAGGAGGCAAAGTGTACCTTCTACCTATGCTGCCATCTTCTCCCTGTGGTACCTTTCAAAATTGTACAAGTAAAATACGAATCAGGGTAAAATAATCAAAGATGATGTAATATAAAAGCTTCTCTCTCTGAGTCCTCTCAGTCAGGGAGAGAAGGAGCAACTGTTGTCCATGGTTTTATTGGAAGTCCTTGCAGATGTGTCCTCTACATATCCAGGTACAAGTGAGTCTGAGCATATTTGCATGTAAGGTGTCTATGTAATAGGCATGTGATCAGTATATACAGGGGTGGGAAAAACTAGGTTTGTGGTTGTAATACAAATAAATACAGTAATCAACAAATAATAGAATAAGAATAAACTGTGCTTCATGTACTCACAACTGCAAACCTACTTTTCTCATGCCTGTATATACTGATTTCTATATACATATTTATGTGTATATGTGTATATGTGTATATGTGTATTGTACACACACATACACAATGTCTGGAAAAAGTCCATCCATTGTTAATATAATGAGAATCGTTTGCAGGATATCAGTGTAACCTAGCAGCCAAGGAGAGTGGACTGGAATGCACATGTGTGAGCAATGATGACTTCACTGTAGTAGGCAGTGGAGGCAATAGATGCGGTTGAGTGAGCATGTGTACTGTGTGGCTGTGGCATTCAAAATGACTGAGCAAGTAAAGCAATGAATCTGCATCAGATTTTGCACTAAGCTTGAACATTCCTCTGCAGAATATTCAGAAGGCTGCAGCTATGGGCAATTGGTGATTGGCAGCTTCAACACCACAAGGTGCCCACTCACGCATCACGTCTCGTGCAGAGTTTTTTAGCAAAACATCAAATCACCCAGGTGACTCAGCTCCCCCACAGCCCAGATTTGGCACCCTGAGACCTCTGGATTTTCCCAAAAGTAAAATTACCTTTGAAAGGGAAGAGATTTCAGACTGTTGGGAAGATTCCGGAAAATACAATGGGGCAGCTGATGGTGACTGGGAGAACTGTGTGAGGTTCCAAGGTTCCTACTTTGAAGGGGACTGAGGTGTCACTGTCCTATGTACAATGTTTCTTGTGTCTCGTATCTCTTCAATAAACGTGTCTATTTTTCACAGGACTTGGCTGGACACTTTCTGGGCCGACCTCTCGTGTATAATGTTCTGTGACTCAAAACTGGCTTGTCCCATGCCTTCCAGCTTGGCACCCATGTCAGTACATGCAGGTCTGGCTAATCCTTTCTGGCAGCACAGCATTTCACCAAGTGGATGTACCACAATTAATTAGCCGATCCTTTACAGAGGGATGTTTAGGTTCTTTCCAGTTATTTTGCTACCAGAAAGCATGCTTCAGTGAACACCCTTGCACAGATGTCTTCATGCACTTGTGCAAGCAGAGATCCGAGGGATAAGTTGCTGGAAGCAGGAACTGCTGGCTCGAAAGCAGCAGGATTTCTGTCTTCGGTAAACATTGCCAAATTGCCTTCCAAAAATCATGTGCCAATTTGCAGCTCCACCAGCAGCCTGTGAACATTTTTTCCTAGGCCCTGCACACTCTGGCTGCTGGCTGCTCCCCTTATCACCTGTCACTCACACACCCTGCGTTTCCAGCCATAGTGCCCCTGCCCAGGCTGTACCCACATACTAACACTCTCTTCCTCGCTGGTCTGTCAGATGAAATCTTACCTTCCCCACGAGGCCCAGATGAGTTGTCCCCTCCTTTGTAGAGCCGTCACTGACTGCTGTCAGTGGTCAGAGACCCCTTCTGGGACCCCAGCTTCTCGGGCATAACTCCATCAGAGTACTCAGGGCCTATGTGTGCCTGGGATTTCATGACTGTCTTGACCACCCCACCATAACCATACAAAAAACTGGTCTCGCCCAACTCCTCCTCCTCCCTCCCTACTGGCTCTCCAGCTGCACAGCCCTTTATCTGCTCTGAAGTACCGTCCTGCCTCAGGGCCTTTGCACCTGCCCTTCCCTCTCTGTGGATTCTGCCTTCACCCATCTTACCTTGGTGCCTTCTCTGACCTCTCTGTCTCAAGCACCCCTCCTCTCGTCACTCCGGTACATCCCCATTTCATCATCTTCATAACACTTCTCACAAGTTGAAATAACTTGTCTGGTTTAAATGTTCCATCTTGTGTCCCATCTCTACACACACACACACACACACACACACTCACACACACCATTATAAGCTCCTCCAGAGCAGGAACCTTGTTTTTCTCTTTCCATTGTCTCGGCCTGGCACCCGTCCACTCAACAAACGTTCATTCAGCGAACCATCTGTATTTTACAGAAGAGGAAACCTTCAGAAAGGAGAACTGAGTAGCCCAAGGTCCCGCAGATTTCAACATATCTGAACTCCGAATGAGTTCATTTCTTCCCTACCCTTAGCTCACTGCATTGTCTACCCCTCAATATGTGCTCTTAGGGGCAGGTTGTGAGTCTGACACCCCAGTGTCCCCAGCGGCGTGTCCCAGGCCCTGGAGGCTGGCAGGCTCTGCGGAGATGTCACCCTCCCCGCCTCCTTGTCAGTCAGGCCGAGGGGGCGGCGCGGCCGCCGGGGGCAGCGCTGAGCTCAGAGCTGCCGCAGCGCCGAAGCGGGAGCCGGAGCCCCAGCGCACAAGGGAGCAGGGCTCTAGGCGCGAGCGGTAAAAGGCGACGCACCCGAGGCCGGAGCACTGCTGCGCCGGGCTCAGGGTCCGCGCCCTGCCTGCTGCAGACCGGCCTAAGCGCCTGACCACGACCCGATCACCCCACCAGCCCGGAGCCCACCCCAGCCCGGCCTAGCGGAGCTCCTGCGTCTTCCCACCGCAGCCTGCGCTCCGTCCCCAGCTCGGGCCCTGCATCCAGGTGAGGCGGCCGCGCTTCGGGAGCCGAGACCCGGAAAGGACTGGGGATGGAGAGGGGACTGGGTGAGATGGAGAAGGAGCTGGAGAACTGAGAGAGGGCGCCGGTGGATGCGTGTCATTGTGCGCCCCGGGGTACGTGTGTCTGCTGCTCTGTGTCCGCAGCTGCCTGGGTAGCCGTGTGGATGTGCGTCCGCGCGCGCGTGCCCATGTGTGTCGGAGTGTCAGTGCGCACTTGAACCTCTGCGTGTCCTGTGTGTGCACGTGAGCGAGTCCACGGAGTATGTTTGTGTGCATGGCCGTGTGGCACTGCCGTGTGTGTACAGTTAGGCTCTGGGCTTCGCGCTGAGTCCAGCACTCGAGTTCCGTGGGGCTGCAGGTTGCGGGGTCCCTCGGGGGTGGCCCCTCCCGTGTCCCCTGGTTTCAAGGACGCCGGGACTCGCCGCGGCCCTGTGGCCTCCCCTGGGGACCAGGAAAGGTGGGAGGGGGCTCCGGGCCAGAAGGGCGCCACGGTCTCAGGAGGGAGGGGAGCCCCCACGCCGCGTCCCTCGGGAAGCACTGGGGTGAGGGTGCAGGGCCAGCGCACCGTGCCCGTGTGTTCGCCCTCCCTAGGCCGCCAGGATGGACGTGTTCATGAAGGGCCTGTCCATGGCCAAGGAGGGCGTCGTGGCCGCCGCGGAGAAAACCAAGCAGGGGGTCACGGAGGCGGCGGAGAAGACCAAGGAGGGCGTCCTCTACGTCGGTGGGCGAGGGGCGGGGCTTCCAGGCAGATGGGTTCCGGTGTCAACTGCTGGGGAGTGGGGCCGGGGTACTCAGGGGTCTGGGCAGGAGAGTGAGTCAGCAGGTGGGGAGGACGCGCAGGGGTCACCGGGGACACAGCCGACAGGAGGGGGAATGGGGGGCAGGGCTGGCGAGGGTAGTAATCAGCTGAAAGGCCAGGGACTGAGGAAACGATCAAAGTGGGCAGTCTACCTTTTCTCCCCCGCAGTAATAGTTAACCGGTGTTGAGCCCTTGCTCTCTGCCAAGTGCTGTGTGAAATGCCATCACACCCATTACCTCACTCGGCGCTCCCTGCCCATTCCACAGACCAGGGCTGGCGATCTCAGAGGCTTGCCTGTCTTGCTCAAGGTCACACAGCTGAGGCACCTGAAGCTGGAGTTTAGGCCAAGCTTCTGGAGTCCAAAGCCCCACCCCTCCCCTGGCTGCCCTCTCTCCTGCATTTGGGGGGCTCTCTGTCTCCCAGTGCCTCCCAGTGCCTGTGTTCCACCACTGCCACCCCCCCTCTGGGTCTCCCTCCTTGCAGCTGCCAGCTGGCATCAGGATGAAGGACAGTGGTTAAGTCACCCTAAACATGAAAGGAGAGGGAACATGCAGGGTCATTTGCATAAAGAGAGGCCAGGCCCAGAGATGGCATTTTATGAAGTCTGTTCTGTGGTCTTTGCCATTGTCCCCTATGCCGACCAAGGAGGGCTGCATTTGGCTTTGGGGTCATTTGAAAAGTATTTATTGACCACCTACTATGTGTCAGGCACTATATGGCTCCTGGGGAGGTAATAGTGGGTGGTGACACAGACCATTCCAATAGTGGGGTTTGACATCCAGAGGCTGGGACAGGGGCCACTTTGGTGGGGTGGTTGATGAGGGAGACATCACGTTGAGCTCAGAGAATAAGTAGGCAGAAGGAGTGGGGGAGGCTGAAGAGCAAAGAAAGGGTGGATAGGTGGGCAGAGCGGGTTCCGATGGGCCCTGGTAGGCCAGAGCAAAGCAGTGTAATGGTCAGGAGAGACTGGAAAGTCTGGAGAGGTCCCTCAGACCTCTGGGGACAGAACAAAGTTCAGGGAGGCCCCCTGGGAGGCAGTGTGGCCACCAGACAAGGGTGGCTCGAGCTAGGACAAAGGTGACAGAGTCAGGGAGAAGGCTGGACCCCACTCTGGCCTCCCTTCTGCCTCCTCCTCCTGCCCAGGAGCCCCAATAGCCCCCATTTCCCACCCTGTTAAGCCTCAGCTCCCTGTCCCCTGGTGTGGTCCTGCCTCCGCCTGTGTTCCCAGCCTCAATGTGCTTTGTGGAGGCCCCTCTGTGTGACCCTCTGCGTGCCCCTCTGCGCCCTGCCTGAGGCTCCGGGTGCCCAGAGTACCCTCTCCAGTCTCCTTTCTGCATACCCACCTGTTCCCCATCTGCCACAGCCCAGGCAACGCCCCCGCCCCTATCAATACCCCCAGAGGCTGGAGGTCCCCTCCCCACTACTTAAGGCCCTAAGTGCTGAATCTGCTCTTCTCTTACCCGCATCCGACAGTGAGTGATTGGCCTAGAGCCTAGCACAGAGCAGGTGCCCACAAACGTTTGTGGGAGGAAGGGATGGATACACAGACAGACGTCCCCCAACCCTGGGTTTCACTGGCCTCAGATGTGAGAATCATGTCTCCCCACACCAGGCCTCTCCTCCGCCTCCTCCCAGGAGAGTCGCCCGCCCACACACCCATTTCTGGGTCTATCAGCTGTTGTCTGACTTGCCAAATCCTCAGGAAGGAGATTCTCCTCTCCCTTGAGGGCTCCCCACCTTTCCCCTCAGATCAGCCCCCTGGTCTTTCCCAGCAGCCCCACACTGTGCTGTGAGCAAGTCGATCCCGTCCCGGGCCAGCCCAGCCAATGCTGTGGGTATCGGCTCCCCTCTGCACACCCTCCACAGGCCCTCCAGGCCCCTAACACACTCTCCACTCCGGCAGAAGGAGGACTTGGCACCCTCGTTAGGAGAAGAAGCTGGAGCGAGGGCTTGGTGGTCAGATGGCGGTGCCACAGGTGGGATGTGGGCAGTCATGCACCAGGGGCGCCTTTCCAAATACATGGCCTGTTTGCCCCCCAGCCCCACCCCCACCTGCTCCCACTTGGGCAGAGAACTAAGTGAACTGGTGGTGCACAGTGCGGGCGTTCCAGCGACAGCCCCTCGGGGTGCAGGCGTCACAGCAGATGGGTGGTGAGGGACAGGCAGCGGCCGAGCTGGGAGTCCTGAGGAAGTAAGTGTGGGAGGCTCAGTGCGGGTGGAGCACTTGTGGGATTTTGAGGCCTGAGGAGGCAGTGATGGGGCCAGGATGCCCGCTGCCCACTGGGGCCCTTTGCACATTTTATAACCCCTGTGCTTGCCAGACCTGTGGTCCCTCCGTTCCAAACCCTTACATGTGTTCCTCGTCTCCCCACAGGAAGCAAGACCCGAGAGGGGGTGGTGCAAGGAGTGGCCTCAGGTACCAGCCCTGCCCTGGCACAGCCCCTTTCCGTCCCCCAGGCTGAGACCTGGCTGGTTTTGGAGGGTGGGTGTGAGGTGGTGAAAGACTTGGGGAAGACCCCCAAGGCTTAGGGGGTGCTCCACTGGAGAGGCAGGCCCTGGGTCACTGCAGGGGTGGGGGCACCTATGCCTCCTTCACACTGGCTCCCGATGCCTTCCCTGACCCTCTCCCTGCTCCAGTGGCTGAGAAAACCAAGGAGCAGGCGTCACACCTGGGAGGAGCCGTGTTCTCTGGGGCCGGGAACATCGCAGCGGCCACGGGCCTGGTGAAGAGGGAAGAGTTCCCCACCGACCTGAAGGTGAGAGGTCGTCCCACCACACACGGGCGTGAATGCAGATGCACGCACGTGCCAGGCACACCCACAAACCTGCCGCCAGGGTCCCTGCTCCCCCAGCCTATCTGAGGCACGAGCCACCTTGCCTCCCCTTCCATAGGACCCTGTAGACTTGGCTCAGCAGGAGTCTGTGTGGTGGTGTGTGTAGACCTGCTGCTGCCTGTGACCATGACCCAGGTCTGCTGTGTACACGCATCCTGCTTGCACGAGTGACCTGGCCCACTTCTGGCCACGTCTGCCTGTTCATTCAGTTCTTTTCATTCAGCCAGTACTCACACTAGAAAGGAATTCCTCTGGGGGTCAGTGCAATGAGTAGTTACCTGCACTCAGGGAGCTGACACTTCAGTGAGAGAAGGTGAAAAGTCAGCCGATCAGCAAGGTCACTTCAGACAGGGCCAAGTGCTGTGAGGAAAAGACGACAGGGTGGTGCGGTAGATAGTCTAGGATGAGGGGGTCAGTTTAGCTGAGAAGGCTCTTCTGAGGGGGTGACTTTTGAGCTGACACCCAAGGGATGAGGCAAGCCAAGTAGGGGAGTGTGTTTCAGGCCGCAGGGGCAGCTCGTGCAAAGGCCCTGAGACAGGTGCGAACAGGCGTGGGCCCCGGGGCAGGGTGGGTTTTGTGCCACCCGCCTGGGCAGGCCTGCTCCCCCAGGGGAGGCGGCAGCTATCCCCGTGTGCACTGAGACAGATGACCCCACGAGGACAGGCTGCAGAGCCAGGGCTGTGAGCTCGCACACCTCCTAGAGCCGGGTCTGAACCCCGACTCCTCCACTCCCAGCCTGTGTGGCCCTGGGCCAGTCCCATCCCGTCTCTGAGCCTGAGTCTTGGCCTGTAAGATGGAAGATGAGCACGATGGGGCTCTTAGGCAAATGAAAGGCAATACAGGTCAGAGGTTCTCAAAAACTAAAATCAGAACCAGCAGGAGGCCAAGGTAAAGTGCTGCTGACTGTGGGCCCCCCCGCCCCTGGATTTATGGATTCAGTCGCTCTGAGGCAGGGCCTGAAATCCCCACTTCTCCCAAGTACCCGGGCGGCTGCAGGTGTAGGGACCCTGCCGGGAGAGTAACCACGACAAAGAGCCGGGCTTGCATGCTGCGAGTACTCGGGAAGGGACAGTGGCCCCGTGACCACGTGAGTGGCCTGTGTCTGTGCTTGTGACCACAGGTGTGACCACAGGTGTGCCAGCATGACAGTGCACTCTGGGGGCCTGCCTGTCCACTCAGACATCCATCCACCTGTGGCTGCTGCATGTCTGTGCACATACAAGTGCAGACTCTGCCTCGGCGCTGGCAGGCGCTCCTCCTTCCACAGCTGGTTTGGGGAACCAGTGTGCATCCATCAGGCTGCGGGAGGGGGCACTGGCCCACCCTCCGCTCCAGACACTTTGCACAGTCCGTTCCTTCCCATCAGAAGTCTGGGGGTTGGCTCAGAAGCTCTGGTTCAAGTCCTGCCTATGTGTTGTACCAGCTGTGTGACTTCCCAGTTCTCATCGTGATGTTTCTGGCGATTGCTCCCATTCTTTGACCTCTTATGTAGGCAGGCTCTAGACATGTGACCTGGAGTAACTCACTGAGTTGTCACAATGTCCCCATGTCGAAGGCACCACAATTAGCCCCTGTCACAGATGCAGGAACTGAGGCTCAGAGAGAAGTGCCTTGCCCAAGATCCCATCCCTGCCTGCCTGCCTGCCTGAGAAGGTGGCTGGGGAGATAAGCCCGGGTCCATAGCATTCGAGTGCCGACAGGGAGCCAGGCCGGGGGCTGGGGGGCTGGGTGCAGAGAGAAGTGGGTCTGAGCTGTTGGAGAGGGACATTTGCACAGAACCACCTTTTCCCAGCCACTTGCCTCCTACCAGCACTTCTTGACACCTCCAGCCTCCTTTCTCAAGGAAGTACAAGGCCACAGGCTTACAACCCAAACCCCGGCCCTTTGGGGCCGCCTGTCCTGGGGAAACTGTGCTAGCCCAGCTCTCGTGTTCCTGAGTGTCTCTCCCTCCCAGCCTCCTCACACATGTCATCAGGAAGCCTCCCTCGCTCCTACGAAGCAGAGATGCCCTCTCATTTCCCTCCCAAGGCCACTGAGATCAGCAGGAAAGTCGCTTTCCTGATGCCAAACAGCTAGAGAATGGCCAGGCTGGGAAACACCCTCCTGTCACGGGCACCCGGGTCAAGACACGGAACATCAGCCCGTCAGAGGCTCCCCCTTCCACCCACTTCCCGTCCTTACACCCAGAGCCAAGACTAGGGTGAGACAAGGGAGGTGTCTGGGGCACAGAACTCAGGGGCGCACGCATTCTGGGCCTCATTCACATGGCCCCGAGAGTGGGCGCCTTCGCCACACTTGCAGCCTCAGCCCTACCCCCCGCCACTCCGGCCTGGCCCTGCCTCCCCTCCGTGGATAACTGCTTCCGGGCTTCTATCACCGCACGCTCATCGGGTGTTTTTTAACATCACATAAATGTTATCCTAAAGTACGTGCTCATCTGCACCTGGCCTCTCCCACTAAGCAGGAAGCCCTAATGTGCACTGCTGATCTCCAAAGTGCAGCACCCACAGGTGATGAAACTGCAGGGCGCACGCCCTCCTGCTCTCCCTGGGCTTCTGCGTGGTCTCCCAATGACATGCCCCGGCTGGGATTTTCACACTGCATTTCTTTCCCGGGCTCTGGTCATGGCGGGGTGACTTTGAGCAAACGAACACTTCCTCACCTCCTGGGCCTTGGTATGCCCATCTGGACCTTGAGGAGACTGGGCCAGGTCAGATGAGCACATACAGGTCAGGAGCTGTAGATTCCTGTGCCCAGGGGGCCCACCTACACAGGTAATTCAAAGGAGCTGAAGCTGATTTGATGGAGCTGGGGAAACTAGAGCACACAGTGGTCTGGGCAGGCCGCCCCAGTGCCAGCCCTCCAGGGTCCCAAGAGTCTCATCCCCACCCAGCAGGGAGGGACCGTTGTACTTGTGGAAGTGGGGGAGGTGATATGCCCCCCTGCCTGCAGTTTCCCCCAGGGGTCGGGGCACGTGCCAGCCCACCTGGCCTTGCACCACCGTGCATTGGAGCCAGGTTCTTGTGTATGTCTGTGTGTGCAGCCACCCTATCCCCTGTTTGTACACATACATGTGCTCACCTGCAGTTGGCTGGCCATAGGTCTGGCAGCCCTCTACTTGTGTGCCTGCTGGTCAGCACCAGGCTGCTGGGCAGCAGCTGCGGGGTGGTGGGGGGTGAGGGGGAGGGGGGAGAGTCTTAGCTCACACATCCAAGCAACACCACTGAGCTGTTGCTTCCAGCTTATCTTAAAATAGCAACAGCTGAAGAAACCAGGCCACACAGGACCCTGGGGGAGGGATGGGTGGCAAGCAGCAGGCGAGTAGCTCGGAGCCCCTGCCCAGCCCAGCTCTGAGCCTGTCTCCCTCCGGCCCAGAGGAGCCTCAAGAGTTATCTCTGGGGTCCCATGGCCCCACACACAGAGCCTGACGCAAGGGGGCGGGGATAAACAGTGACTGAGTATGCTGTCTATTTCCCCATCCCAGTCCCTGTGACCCGGACTACAGGAGGCAGCCAGGTGCTGGGAAGCTGGGTATGGAGAGCCCTGCTCCGCTTCCCACTCCCAGCTTCAAGCAGGATTTGGAGGTATTTCATGCCTCATGCATTCATCCCACTTCCAAAGTACTCCACATCAACACTTTAATTAGAAATTCTGGCTGCACTGCCAACAAAGCCCAGCCTTCCCCTAATCAGCCAGGAGCTTCCCAGGGTAGGAATCTGGGGTATGTCCCCTGCTGCCTTCACAGGCCCTGCCCCCTCTCTGTCCACAGCCCGAGGAAGTGGCCCAGGAAGCTGCTGAGGAGCCACTGATCGAGCCCCTGATGGAGCCAGAAGGAGAGAGCTATGAGGAACTGCCTCAGGTGAGAGATGGCAGGGCTGGGCGGGGCTCCGGGCATCCCAGAGGAATGCTGCCACCCCCAGCTAGGGTGGGGGTCCCTGGCAGTGTAGGGTTGGGCCAGGGAGCTTCAGGGCCCCATTTTCTAGAACCCAGGCCCCAGGAGGTGTCAGCATGGAGGGAGGACAGTTGGGGTGAAGCACTGGGCCCCAGGCACTCCTGCCCAGGACTGGCCAGGCTATCCCCAATTTCCAGATTCCTTGCCTGCCCAGGGGGAGGGGTCTCAGGCTCAGAGCCTGGCCACTTGGTTTCCAACCCCTTCCTCTTTTGCTCTTTTGCTCTTCTTCACTCCACCCCAATCCCTCTGATGCAGGAGGAGTATCAGGAGTATGAGCCAGAGGCGTAAGGGCCCAAGAGGGCCCTCCACCAGCAGCACAATCCCTTCCTGGTCCCCCCCCTCCCCCCCCCCCCAGAGCCAGGGCTGTCCTTCTAACCCTTCCCCCAAACACGAGATCTTCCTTCACTCCGAGGCACCCCCTCGGAGCCCGTGTTAGTGTCTGACCACCCATCTGTTCTACCCACTGGCGTCAAACCCTGGGGCGTGGACGAGGCCACTAGGAGCCTCGCTCCACCTGTGTTGTGTTGCCCCCGCCCCACCCCCTCCCGTCCAGTGTCTGCGCAGATGTAGCATGTTCTATGTGTTTTTAAATGAAGAACTGAAAGCTACGGCTCCCTACCCCACCCTGACAGCAACCCCGGCCGCCCCAGAGCCCCCCACCCCACTCCCACAATGACCCCAAGAACCCTTTTTTAACCAGAACCAGGAGCCAGACTGTGCTCCCTCCCCCAGCCGGCCCGGTCCAAGCGCGGGCGTTGTGTGTCCTGACTGTGGCATGGAGAGTCCCCCAGCCCCGTGTGCGAGTGTTCCGGGCAGGCGGCACAGCCGCCCCCGCGTGTCCGTGAATAAAGTCAATCTGTCTGGAGCCGGCGCTGCTAGGGCAGGGCTGGACGCCGGATGAGGGTGGCCGACGACCGGGTTCCGAGTCCCACACTGCCCCCCTCCCCTCTTTGGGGCCCAGCACACTCGGCCCAGGTGCGAAACTGACAACCCTCTGGGTGGGATGACCTGGGGGTCAGGGGTTCCCCCAGGCTGGGACAGGCAGTTGGTTGGGAGGTGGGCCTGCGGTCTCCGGAGCCTCCTGCTGGGCGGTAAAGCCCCTGCCGCAGGTTCTCGGAGAAGGGGAGCCCGGCGCGCCGCCGCTTGGCGCTGGGGGTGGACAGGCTCACCCTTCACCGCGCACGCAGCGCAGGCGCGTGGACGGCCATGCACGCGCGGACAGACGCGGGCGTATTGGGGTCCCTGCGCACCAGTCGGAGTGTGCGCCCCCTGGCAGGCGCTTACGTGCTCACACGCGTGCAAGCACGCAAGCCGATTCGTGCAGACACGTGCACACTCACAGTGCTGGGAAACCAGCAGCGCGGGCACTGTAAGGCACAGTTACGCGCAGACCTCTCTCCTCCCCAGAACGTTTACACGCATACACACCTTCTCACACCTGCCCAACACAGACAAGCCCATCCAAGGGGAGGGAAGATGGGCAGCTGCCTCAGAAGGAGCCACACACAGCTCGGGCGACCGGGGCTTTACCCCTCCTGGAAAGGCGTCCAAAGGTTCGTAGCCTGAGCTGAGGGGGGTGAGGGTCTGCAGAAACCCGGATGCCCGGGCCAGACGCCTAGAGCGGACCGGAATCGACAGTGGAGGGACCCCAGCACCGCCTAGGTGTGGAAAGGAAGGCTCGGAAACGCCGAGGTGCTGCTCAGAGGCCCACCTCCGACTAGGCGAAGGCGCTGCTCCCATTGGCCTCGCCCGCTGCCTTTCGACGCGACGCTCACGCCCTCTTTGCTGCTGAGGCCCTCTAACCTCCCCGGCACAGAGGCCGGCCCGCCCCGGCGGAACCCCCGCCTTGCTTCGTCGCTGGGCGCCCCCAACCTCGCCAGCGTAAGACCGCACCCTCTTCTCTGCCTCCTCAGGGCGAGAAGAAAATTGCACTGCTGGGTCAACCCCAAGTGTTAGCGCTGCCTCTTCCCCTGAGGGGTCGGGGGAAGACCAGTCCACTCGGAGCACCCTGGCTGGCAGCACCCTGAGCCCTTACCTCTGGGAGTCGGAGGCAGCTGGCAGACGAGTGTGTAGGGAGAGCAAACCTGTGGGCTTGGAGTCTCTGACCCCAAGCGAGGGTGCCAGGATCTCCAGATTCCTTTCGACTGAATTAGGACACTATGCAGGGAATTGCAAATTCCTGGCCCTCAGATTCCATTGGACCTATAGAGATGTTTAACAAGGTTTAATTTTTTTCCCCTTTATTCCAGTTGTCAAGAGTCCCTTTCTCTCCCTATTCACCTTATTTATTTATTTAGTTAGTTAGTTAGTTAGTTATTTGAGCAGCTAAGGGTGGGAGACAGAGGGAAGGAAACATCAATGTGTGGTTGCCTCTTGCACGCCTCCCTTACTGGGAACCTGGCCTGCACCCAGGCATGCGCCCTGACTGGGAATTGAACTGTTGACCTTTTGGTTCACAGGCCAGTGCTCAGTCTACTGAGCCACACCAGCCAGGGCCCTATTAGCAGGGAGAACTGCCTGGCCTTCATGAACTGCCTGGCCACTAAAGAATTTGAGTCTGCCACCTCCTCCTCTCCCGCTACCAGCACCCAATTCCCAATTTTAGATGGGAAAGCAAGGTTCACCGTCTGGCTTGGGGTGGCGGGTATTCTTCTCTCCGGGTGCCAAGCCACACACCTGGTTTTCTGAGCCTGGTTTCTGCTCAGAGACCAATGCTCTCTTCTGCCAGGGTCACTTTAAATGTATTCTAGGCACAGGGCCAGAAGTGTCAGCGGAAGATGCCAGGCCTGTGTCAGATGGCAGACCTGACCGCGGGTGCCTGTGTGAGAGCAGGCACTCATGGCCCTCCCTTGTGACAGGGACCAAGCTGTTTACCAAGTGCCCAGCATGTCCCAGGCACCCGACACTGGTCTCCACTAATTTCGATTGGAACTGTGCTCGAGGGTTCCCTGTTATTAGCCCCGATTTACAGATGAGAAAATGGAAGCCAGAGCGGCAGTCACCTGCCCTGGGGGGTGTTGCTGGGAAATGACAAAGGCCTGGAGCCCCACCCTGAAGTCCCGTTTTCCAAAAGCAACTTGCTCTTGGGGGAGACAGACACACAAAACTACCAACAAAGGAAAAACTAGGGTAGCTCAGTGGACATAACAGATGCTTTTGCTATTTCATGCAGACTGCCAGTGAGATTGTGTGTGTATGTGGTGTGGGGGGGTTGAGCTGTGTGTATGCACTTACACATGTGATGTGGTGTGTGTGGTGGCTAGTCAGCCCAGGCCTCTGAGGAGCCGAGGTTGCAGCTGACACCTACGTGAAGAGGAGGTGGCCCACAAGGTCTGCAGGGGCAGTCTGGCGGTGGAGGAGGCTCCCACTTCGCTGTGCGCATGGACGCGGGGTCTGGCCAGCGCCGCTGACCCTGGCTGGGCCTCCCGAGGTCTGTGGGCCCAGCCCCGCCGCACCTGGCCCACACCTCCCCTTCTCTGCCTGCGCTCTTCCCTCCACCACTGCCCTCAACTCAGCCTGCCGAAATCTTTCCCTCCTCTGAGTTTTCCCTTGTCCCCCAGCCAGCAGTGATTTCTCCTCGTCACTCTGGCTCAGCTGTGCACACACAGACCCCTCCCACCCATGTCCGCCATCTGCGGACCTTGGCTGGCTGGCTAGCTAACCCGAAACCTGCCCTCTCCCCCATGAAGGGCTGGGGGCTGTCCCTGTCTCCGCACCATTCCCTGTCACCCTCCCAGTTCCCCACTACCCCCCACCCCGCCACCCCCTGGTAACGTGGCTCCACAGCTTTCTCTGGAACTTTATTTTTGTTTTCTCCCTTCCCTATTTATAGCTCTCTCCCCTCCAGAACCATCCCTGCATCCCTCCTGTTGCCTAGAAACCAGCTCTGGGCTGAGGGTGGGGGAAGGCCAGGCCGGCCGAGGCAGAGGGAGGGAAGCGCTGTCACCCACCCCCCTCTCGACGCTGCTCCCAGTCTCCCAGAAGCCCACCCCACCCTCCGCCCAGCACCCACAGGTGTTTTGTAAAAGATAAAATGTGGAAAACAGCAGCCTTTTTTATTTGTGAAGTCCTTCGTGGCTTCCAAAGGGCAATATACATGCAATTCACTCATGGCTCTACCCTGCAGGAGACCTGCACTCATTTTTCAGATGAGGAAACTGAGGCTTCAGGAAGCAAAGATGTCATAGCTCAAGTCTTCTCAGTAGAAATTCCATGGTTTTGGACTAGTTAACCTTGGGATATTGGCCTGAAACACTGAACAGTTTTAAAAGCATAAATAATCCTGTGATCTGTTAGTTGCAGAAGGGTAAAGAGAAAAATTTTGTCATGATCTTGCCACACACCAAGCCACCAACCCTGCCTGTCACACACACCACCATACCCTTTGCCTTGGCCCAAACAGGCCCCTGCAATGCCCCCACCATGCCAGCATACATTCCCCTCACCGTGCCCAGCTGTGGCTCGACTCCTGGCTTCCTCCTTACCTTCCACAGATGGGACCAGGGAGCCTGAGCTTGCTTCGTGGCTCTGCTACTTCAACTGTGTGACCTTGGACTGTTCACACAACCTCTCTGAGCCCTTGTTTCCTCAGCTCAAAAGTAAGAATGCTAACTTCCACCCCACAGGACTAGTATCTCTTACTAGATACTGATGAGAAAGTGCTTTGAAAACCGTAGGGGCCCTGGGCTCACCAGGCAGAAGAGCCCTTTTCCCAGGAAGAGGGGGGACCAGGCTGTGGAGCACCAGCAGACCACTGGGGGGTGGGGGTGGCACAGAGGCCCATGTGCCTGACTTCTGTTCTCAAGCACCCCACCCCCTATGGCCCCACTCCCTGTGTCCCGCCCCAAAGGCCCACCTCTGCCTTCGAGATGGGCTCTCTGGGCAGAGTGGGGAGAGGACTTCCAAGGAGCAGCTGGGCCCTGATTCAGCCTGAGTCACCCATCCGAATCCCCGGGCCGCCCCCAGCTGTGCCGGGCTGCAGCTGCTGGGGGTAGGGATGTGCAGAGGAAGAGAGGGGGCCTGTGTGGGCAGCAGGAGGTGCCCACGTGTGCCCAGGCCAGGGCTCTTGTGGATATCAGAGCAGCAGGGAGGGGCTGGGAGTGGTGTGCAGGAGGAGGTCGGGGCGGGGCAAGCGAGCCCATGGGCATCAGCTGTCCCGGCCGACTGAGGAGGCAGGTTCGAGTGTGTGTGCCCGTGCACGCACACATGGTGCTGCAGGTGCATCTGAGTAAGCGAAGAAGAGCCAACAGTGTGGGCTGGAGCTTGGCTCCCAGCGTTGTCACTTTCTGGCTGTGTGACCTTGGCAAGTTTCTCCAGCTCTCTGAGCTTCTGCTTCCTCACTCTCAGATGACTTTCCCGAAGGAGTAAATGTAATGAGATGAGGGCTGACTGTTACACACTCAGGCAGGCAGTAGTGGTCCCTCGCCATCATTGTCACTGGGTCATGCGCTGCCTGCAAGTGCACAGGTACATATCTTAGTGTCTGTGTTCAGGGGTGTGTCTGAGCAAGCCTCAGGGGATGCGTGGTCTGGGTGTTCTTGAAGGAGCCAATAAGTATGTGTTGTGTGTGCATCTCTGAAGCAAACACAAGCACTTTCCAGAAAGTGGGGTTTATATGGCATTGCCTGCCACATGATCCCAGCCCCCCACACACACACCACCACCACGCCTTCCCTAGAGGCTGTGATTTGCTGACATTGGGTCTAGACCATGGCCACTGTCCAAGCAAACGGGTTAGGAACTGTGGATGCTGTTTTATTGGGACTCTCAGACCTTCTCAAAAGCCTTTAGCCTCAAACAAAGCTGGAATGAGGGCTAGACCCCCAGGGTGGGTGTGCTGGGTGTGGAAGGAGGGTCGTGTGGGATAGAGTGGACTTGAACATGCCATGAACGGGAGAGCTCACGGGTGTGTGTGTGTGTGTGCAGGGGTGGCGTGGGGGGTGGCTGCTGGCTCTGCTCCAGTACAGTCTGCTTGTCTCCACGGCGCCTGTTGCCACACATGCCTGCTTTTCAGAAAGTCACCGGGACTGTTTATTCCGCCCCCGGCCTGGGTGCCAGCCAAGGAGCTGCAGGCACTTGTTTGTCTTCTGGTGTGTGTGTGTGTGCATGGCTTCCCAGCGGCAGACCGACCGAGACGCCCGTGTGCACACACACGGGTGTGGGGGACCACGTTGGTTGTTGCAGAACAAGCCTGAACCCCAGGATGAGCCACAACCCAGGCCCAAGCAGACGTGCTCCACATGGGGACAAAGATGACCCCTCAATGGCCCCAGAGTCACACCATGGATTAAGCAACCCCCAAGCTCCAGGAAAGTGTGAGAGCCAGTTGCTCTGGCCTGGGTCCTGCATTCCACCCCCCTGCCCCCTAGAACTAGCCCCTGCACAGCAATTGGCCAGGCCTGGGTCACTGCCCACCCCCAACTCTGTCAGTGGGGCAAGTCCTACCCCACCACTTGGATGGGAGTGGGAGGTGGTTCCCCAAGGGAAATAGAGGTGCTGTGGGCAGGAATGGTTGTGCAGTGTTGGGCTCACCATTACCCTGGTGTCCATTATGAGTGCTGCATTGTGTGTGGGGACTGGTGTAGGGTGTTTTGTTTTATGTTGTTTGGGTTTTTTTCCCTATACCCCCCTTAGAGCTCTGAGAGCCATTACACATGATGAAGGTGAGGCTCAGAGAGACCACAGTCAAAGCCACACAGCTGGTAACTCGAAAGGCCGGGACCTGGGCCCCTGCTGCTGCCTCTGTGCTCTTTTTGAGCTACCAGTCTGCCTTAGCACTTAGCTTCATTGTCTGAATATTTTCATTTTTAAACACGTTTTTATCAACAAGTCCCCATGGAACAAGAGCGGTTGGAGTGTGGCAAAGGGCAGGCTGGAAAGAGGCCCTGACAGTGTCCACATAGCAGTTGCAGCCAGAGCTCTGACCACCTCCCCGCAGACGGCTTTACAGCGTCTGCGCCGCCAGCGGGACTCCCCACAGCCAGGACCTGCATCTTCACCAGAGAGCTGCCCTCTGGCTGGGAAGCCCACTTGCCCCCCAACCCCCTTCCCCCGCACCATAAGCCAGAGCACCTGGGAGCTAATGCACAGCCCCAGCATCTGCCAGGCTCTCGGATATAAACACGCCAGCTCTCTTGCCCTTGGCCAGGGGAATTCCGAGGTGTGCCTTTATCCCTTTCCCCGATATTTCCTGTGGGATTGAGCTTCACTCCCCCACTATGGTAGCTGGCTTAATAACCACCTCTTATTGGACGCCTTCCTAGCTCTCCTGGGTCACCTTCCCCCTCCCCTGCTGGTGTCCTTGCACCTCCCAAATAGACCACATTCCCTCCTTGACCCTCATTTCAGGGTCTGGGAGCTGCCCCAGGGCACTGGGTCCCTTCTTGCCCTTCCACCCTAAGCATCTGGGCTGAGCCACCAGGGTCTCCCTTGCTGGCATCTCTGCTTCCCTCTCTCCTGCCCCCCTCCCATCAGGATTTAAATGCCTCCAGTCTCCTCCTAGCCCCATGTAGAGACCATCTTACCCCATTTCTCCTTCCAAGCCCAAACTTGTGGAGAGAGCCCTCTCCAGCAGTTCCTTACTCTTGTTTACTCATCCGCCACCCTCCTCCCCGCCCCCGCCCCCAGCTTTCACCCCCACCACTCCATGGACTGTGCTCTCATCATATTTCCATCACCTTCTTTTCAAGTCCAGAGGACATCTCTCGGGCCATATCCAGTCTTCCTGATGTGGTTGGCCCTGCCCTTCTTCTGGAACATTCTCTCCCCTTGGCTCCTGAGACACACTCTCCTGGGTTTCTTCTTGTTTCTCAGACATCTGTTCCCCATTTTTCATGGCAGCCTCCTTTCTCAGCTGGCCCCTTATGTGGGTGCTCTCAGGGTGGACCCAGGGTCTTCGCCTCACCCTGTGTGCTCCACGTGCTCACCTGAGGTACCCACACGCCCTCCCGATCCTAGCACCAGCTCCCTGGTCCGTCTGCCTCAGCCTCTCTGGAGCTGTTTTGCACTTGTAGGTGACAGCACAGCTGTCCCACAAGCCCCTGCTTTTCCCAGGGCTCTCGGGGTGTCTGTCGTCCACCCGCTGGGCCCCCCCCACGCAGAACCTCAGAGAAGCAGCAGAGTCCTCTCTCCCCTCACACTCCCCTCACATCCGGCCCATGACCAAGGCCTAAAGGGGTTCAGGGCCTGGCCCCTCCGCTCCATCCTAACAAATGCTCCCACGGCTCAGGCAGCATCGTCTCTCACCTGGACGGCTGCCACTGCCTCCTCGCCCGTGTCCTGGTCGGGCTCACATCCACCCTCACCCTGCCCCCATGGGGCTTTTACCTTTTTAATTAAAAAAAAAATTTAATTTTCACCCGAGGATATGTTCATTGAGTTTAGAGAGAGAGAGAAACATTGATGTGAGAAACATCCTTGGCTGCCTCCTATACACACCCTGAGCGGGGATGGAACCCACGACATTTTGGTTTGGGGGATGACACTCTAACCTACTGAACCACCCTGCCAAGGCCCAGTGGGGCCGATAATGTTTCCTGTGAAGGACTGTAGGGGAATAAAATGAGCGGACAAAGGTAGAACAGGGCTTGTAAACTATGAAGCGAGCAATTTTCAGGGCCTGAAACGTTACTCAGTGAGCGGCCCAGTGCGGACGTTGTCCATGGTGCTGAAAACTTGTCCGGTTTTCTGCTCCCCTAGGCTTGCCCGCCCATCCAATGGGTTCTCTTCATTGGCCATCTAGATTTTTTAAAGAATTTTTTCAAGATCATGGTGCCAGGGTTCACCAGGTAAGGGAGAAGAGGAGAAACTACGGGTTAGGCGTGAGGCTTCAGGAGTCAGCGCCAACAGTAGCTAGCTGTGTGAGCAGAGACAAGCTATCTCAATGTTCTTACCTGGAAAATGGGGATATAATACATTGATATCAACTTTCTCCTAAGCGATTGGAAATTAAAATGTAGACAAAGCCAGTAAACAACTGAGCACAGTGCCTGCTCCTCGGTGAGCATTCCATTAACGTTCGCTGTTCCATTTTTAGTTCAGGCGGGAGGGTTTTATCGCCTCTTGGCAATTACAGAATTATTTTTTCTGCTCTGGAAAGTCAAAGGAGAGGGGACTATTTCCCTGCAGAGAAGCGTCGAGGCGGAGTGGGCCGCAGGCCCTGATGTCCTTGGCAATTCATATTCAACTGGAAGCCCCTGAGCATCTCCTTCAGTCTCATCCATCCTTCCAAGCCCACTGTGAGGTGACTAATGTTAGTCCCATTTTACAGATCAGGGAACTGAGGCTCAGAGAGAATAAGTAATTTGCTCAAGGCTACGCAGGGGAAGGAGAAGTGGACTTGCACAGACTAGACGATGAGAGCCCCTCTGGCGAGGCAGGCGGGCGGCGGGGGAATCCAAGGCGCTTCCCCCGCAACTCCCCACCCCCCACCCCGTCTCCGCCACCCACCGTGTCTCCTGGGCTCGAGGGGCGTGGGCAGCGGCGAGACAAAGGGCGGGGGCGGGGCGGGGAAAGGCCGGAAGTGCGCTCGGCCGAGGGGGAGGTGCGAACTGCCCGCGCAGTGAGAACTCGAAGGTCTCCCCGGCCTGAGTCCCCGTTCAGTCGCTGAGTGTCCGCAGACAAGTGGCTTCCCCTCTCTGAGCCCCACCTTCTTTCCCGGGGAGACGTGGAAACGGTGCTCGCCGGGCTGGACTGAGTGAGATCCGAGACAGCGCGCCCCGCCCTCGGCAGGCGTGCAGCAAGAGGGAGGTCTTTCCTCCCCGTAGGGAAATGGGAACCCGACCCAGCGGAGCGGGGACCCCGGCAGCCCCGAGGCTGCGGTGAGGGGCGTTCCTCCCTCCTTCTGCCCAGCTTCCCCGCCGGCACCGCCCCTCGCGGATCCAGGGCCCGAGACGGCCAGCGCGCATGCCCGGGGCGGGGCGCGGGGCAGGAGCGCGGAGCCGGCGCCGGGGACAGCGGTGCAGAGTCCGCGGGTCCGCCTGCCAGCCCGGCCGGAGGCGGCCGAGTCCGCTCGGGCGGCGGCCGCGGGATCCCGAGCGCAGCGTGCGGAGGAGACGGATCAGCGGCACGGCTGGGTAAGCGCCGCGCCCGCGCCGAGCCAGCACCTGCTGCCCCTGCGGGCCGGCGGCTTAGAACCCCTTTTCTCTCGCGGGCCCTGGAGCCGCTGTCCAGGGTCCTCGAACTCCCTGGGTAGCGGGGCTTAGTCCCCGCGCTCAGTGTGGATTTAATACGAGCCCGGGTCCTTGTGTGCGCGCAGCCGGGGGCTGTGGGTATCCCTATCCAGGCTTCTGGCCGAGGCGGGGCGGGGCGGGGGCGGGTCCCGCTGTCCCGGCCAAGCCCCCCAGGAGTCCCCCCACCGGCCAGCCAGCGTGTGTGTAGAATCCGGGCCTGCGCCTGGCCTCTCTTTTAGCAGCCCCTTTGTTCCGCATGGCCGTTTGGGAGGGGGCGCTTCCCGCCATGGTGGGGAGGGGGTCGGACCGAATTGATTCATTTTTCCCCTAGAGCAAGCAAAGTGCTTGCGTGGCTCTGTTGTCTACGAGACACTGAGCACACTCGCCATTCCACACTTAGTGTGGCACACACTCTGGGGTCCCATCACACTGTCACTCAGCGAACAAGGCCACGGGTCCACACCCATGCACTGTGCCCCTGGGTCATTCCATCACACTCGTACACTCGGCTGCCTGTGCACCCTCCCAGTGCACCTAGTGGGAGTCTTGCGTACACACCCAGGCAGAGCTACGCACTCACACCAGCCATCACCGGTCATAGCACACTCAACTCAACAACACTCCCTGCCCATGACACACTCGCAGTCTCCCTGCCCTGGCCTACCTTGCCTGTTCACCCCTGCTCACCACAGTGCCCCTCATGTATCCCAGGCCCTGGAGTAGGCTTTCCCACTGTGTCCACTCTCCCTGTCTCTTAGCTTGCTGTCCACCCTTCCCCACACTCAGTCCGAGTGTGCACACACTCATGCCCTCTTGGAAATGGATGAATGGATGGATGAATGGATGTGAGAATGGATGGATGAGTGGGTGAGCCAGGGGGCATTTCTGGAAGAAGGTTTGGCTACCACCCTATGCTAGACTCTTTCTCACCTCCAGTCCCAGGCAGGAAGCTCTGCTGCTCTGAGGGTGCTAGGAGACAAGGAGATGAGTGCGTGAGGGGCTGCAGACCAAGATTGTCGGGCATAAACAGGGATACATGCACACCCGTCAAAGCCCCACGAGACTTTGTAGGTCTTATCACTATGGGAGGCGCTCAAGGGTGCCTGGCACCACGATCAGAAGAAATCCCAGAGGGTCAGGAGTCGGCTGGCCAGGCCTCCGAGCCAGGGTGAGCATCCACAGGGGCTGCTCTGCCCGGGAGCAGCACACACGCACCTGTGCCCACCTCCAGGCCAGCACTCCTGTGAGTGAGACTCGGAGGTCATGCGGCCACATGTGTGCCCACCCACAGGGTCCCAGTGGCCCCCAGGGACACAAATGGGCAGGCCATCCCGCACACACAGGCTGCCCACGTGCACACCAAGCTCTTCCTGAGCAGAATGCAGGAGCCGCATCCCGGCTCCCTGGCTGGCCTGTGCTGGCGCAGACATCCACAAGCAGTCTGCATGCTCCCAGCACACCAGGTGAGCTGGGCCCCACACCTAGGGGGTCATCTGCGGATGCAGAATGTGTATTCACACATGTGGGTGTGTGCACGGGGGACACTCATGCTTCCGGAATGCTCCTGGGTACTGTTGCCTGTTGGGCCTAGGGGACAGGAGGACACTCGGCCTTACCCCGAAGAGCAGAAAGGGGTTTTAGAAGTCAAGCCTTAGTGCCCAGGATCTTCGCTGATCCGAGCAGGAAGAGCCCAGGCTTTGGGTTCAGACACAACAGGCTCTGAACCACAGTCCCCCACCCCAATTGTGCGCCCTTGGTGTCAAGTCTTTCCTCCCTCTGACCTGGGTCCTCACTCGTGGGATGAAACGATAATGCCCCCTCATGAGAATGTTGTGGAGTCCAGATGCTAAAGGGAGCCCGAGAGTGCTGGGCCCAGGGCTGAGCACTCGGTGGGAGAGGGATGGAGCCGGGCTCTAGAGAGAGGGTGCAGGTGACTGGGGGGGTGCCCCAGGCCAGCCGCCTCTTGGAGAAGCGGCTGGATGATACCAAGCCAGGATACCTGGCTTCCACGAGAGCCAGGCAGGGCCCAGCAGAACCGAGGGCAGCAGAGCCCCTGATCCTCAACCCTGGGCTGGGCCCACTCTTTTAATATAACCACACCCCCCCTCCCAGTTCACAGACTGGGGAAGACTCACCCAAAGTCATGGAGGAGGACCATGACTAAGCTCAGCCTTGTCCTCATATCTTTCTAACCTCTGGCCAGGCTCTCAGTCCATACCCCAAACCTGACCCCAAGTGGGAGAACCTTGAGCTGGGAATTGAGAAGCTGGCCTCTTCCAGGAGGACCTTTCAGAAGAGGTGTGTTAGCGGCTGGGCCGAGCCTGCCTCTCAGGACCACAGCTTCCTCCTCTGGAAAGTAAGAACACAACACCTGCATGGCAGGAGTACGGGGTCTGTACAGACACACAGTAAGGGCTTGTGTGTGAGGTCACTTCCCACCTTTCTCGGTATCTAGGTCAAGGGTCAGAACTCAGGTGGCTACAGGCCAAGCAGATAACAAGCATGAGGGGCTGGCTATGAGAAAAATGATGGTACAAACTCAGTGGCCAATGGCAACCGACAGTTGGTCTCGGCGTTCAGACACTGTAGGGAGGGGTGGAGACTGTGGCTAATTGAAGAACACACCCCCAGCTAGTGCTTGGCTCCAGCTGGTGGTCGCCATGCAGGAAGCACGCAGAATGCCAAATTTTAGTTTTCCAAGAAGAGCTGGAAATCGTATTTTTGCTGAAATCTTCTAATTTTTACAAGTTAATTCCTTTGAAAAAAATGTGTTAACATTCTGGGTCAAACACACGTATCTGAGGCCCGGGTTTGCCAGTTCTTGCTTCTGCTGCAGGGCTGTCCCCCCACCCCCGCCCCCTCCCTGTCCCCTCCCCTGCCCCCTCTGGGGAGCACAGCTGGGCTGTGACAGGTCGAGTGGATAAACACAGGCTTTCCACACGCACAGCCCGCCCTACAGTGCAGGGCTGTGCACACCCCTCAGCTGTAGCTCTCACAGCAACCTGCGGTGCAGGCATGAGTCTGCCAGGGCCCCCACCAGAAGGAAGCACTTACCTGAGGTCACAGAGCTGGGACGTGGGGAGCTGTCCTGACCTCTTGCACAGACCGCACCCAGGGGAAGGAGCTTGCTGGAGGGGCTGGGATGAGGGCCCCCAGGGCCAGGCCACACTCAGAGCACCCCTCCCACAGCCCTAGCTGACTCCTTCCAGCTCCATCCCAAGCTGCCCTGCATCTATCTGCCAGGCAGCCATTAAATTCCTTTTTCCCAGAAGAGGAAACTGAGGTTGGGAGAGGCCGGCATGGCAGGCAGACCCAGTCCTCACCAGGGCCTGGTCCCTCTCTCTCTCGGCCGTACACCCAGTGTCTCTGGCTTGTACAAGTGCCTATTTCTGCAGCCTGAAGGACCACATAGACCGGGGTCTCCAGCGAGGGGCCTGAGGCATCAGACCTGGCCCATGAAAGTGAGTTTTTTGACCTGTGAGGTGTTTGTTAAATTAACCAACATTTAAAATACAGAAAAATCCAGGTCGATGACTTTGTTCAGAACAATGGCAACGGCAGGAGCCATGCACACTTTCCTGCTGAGACACCCCAGGGGGGCCCCCTACCAGCGTGGCTCAGTGGGTTGGAACATCGTCCCATAACCAAAGGGTTGTGGGTTTTATTCTGGGCCAGGGCCCACACCTGGGTTTGGGGTTTGAGCCCTGGCCCTGAGCTTACAATCCCAGGTTCAGGCGTGTACAGAAGGCAACACATCAGTGTTTCTCTCTCTCCCTACCCCTCTCTCTAACAGCAATGAAAAAAATGTTCTTGGGTGAGAACCAAAAAAGATACCCCAGGGGTTTCCCAACACCCTTAGGACACACTCCTGCTCCTCCCCCAAGACCTGCATGACGGGCTCCCCCCGCCTCCTCCCCCACTCAGGCCACACAGGCCTTTTCATGGCTGCCTCAGTTGTTACCTCCTCAGAGGGGCCTTCCTCAACCATAAGCCAGCTGCCCACTCCTTGTCTTCACCACATCTATTATTATTTGAAATTACATGATTTATTTGCTTACTTGTGAACTGATCTCCTTCAATCTTCCCACAACTGGAAGGCAGGGACCATGAATTTCTTATTCACTGCTGTGTCTCCAGTACCAAGAACATGTTTAGAACATTGCATATGTGCTAAACAAGTGTTGAATTAGTCAATGAATTCCTAAATAGCTAGTAGAACTCAGTGCTGGAAGGGGCCAGTGCTCTCTAGTTTGCCACAGTCCCCACCACTCCCTCTCGCTCTCTCACCTGGAGGATGTCAACAGTCTTTAATCACCTCACTTACTCTGCTGTTTTTCTTATGGGAGAAAAATACTTATCAGTGCTCATATCACCATCTAGAGGCAGAAAAATGAAGACGGCCACAGTCCATACCACTCAGATCCGATGCCTGCTTGACCCCCACAGGCCAGGGACCTTCCTGCTCATTTTCATGCTTCTGACAACCAGCCCCAAAGGCAGAGCTCACAGCTGCTCCTGGTCAATCCCCCGTCAGTTCCACAGGCACCCAGTTCATCTCCCCAAACCCAATGCCCACCGTCCTCTGCAAAACTGCCCCTTCTGCGTCCCCAATTTGGTGATGACCTCCCCCGCCGCCCCCAGGTCCCATAAGCCCAAAGCCTGTGGACCCAGTGGTGAGCAGGAGAGCTAAGTCCCCATCCAGGGACCTGAGGTCCAAAGAGCTAAGTTCAGCCCTTGCTGGTGTGGCTCAGTGGCTTGAGCACCAGCCTGCAAACTGAAAGGTCGCTGGTTCGATTCCCAGTCAGGGCACTTGCCTGGGTTGCTGGCCAGGTCCCTGGCTCGGGGGCATGCAAAAAGCAACCAGTAAATGTTTGTCCCACACATCAATGTTTCTCTTCCTCTCTTTCTCCCTCTCTTCCTCTCTCTCTAAAATAAAAATAAAAAACTTTAAATAAATAGAATAAAGGGATAGGTGCACAGTGACATGAGCCGGTTCGGGGAAAACAAAGGCTGTGGGAACCTGGCTCACAGGGGAGGAGGCAGCTACCCTGAGCCTGACGGTGGGGTGAGAGCCGAGCATGAGGGTGTGGAGAGGCTGCAGTGGGAGAGGCATGAGGCCACAGGGGAGCCCAAGGTGGTGCGTGTGTGCACATGATGAATATGGGTGTGTGTGTGTATGCGTGCGTGAATGTGGGTGCACGCGCATGTGTGTGCATGGATATGGGTGTGTGTGTGTGGATATGGGTGTGTGCATGTGTGAGTGAATATGGGTGTGTGTGTGTACACACGTGCATGTGGGAGCACATGCTTTGGCGGAGGGAGCACACACTGAATTGCACAGTCAGCAGGTCAGTAAGGTCGCAGGGGCTTGGAAGCACATTATGGAGTTGGACTTGACCCTAAAGGTACTAGGGAATCATTAAAGGTTTCTTTCTTGTTTTGTAAATATGTCATAACCCAAACTCAGACTTCACAGTGGGGCATACACAAAAGTCTCTTCCTCTGCCAAACTGTCGGCCTCCCCTCCCAGAGGCGATCTGGAGACGCCATCTCCATAACTAAGCCATAGATGTGTGCCTGTCCACTCCCTGGCTCTTTCCACCTATTTTCTGGTGGGTGTCTTCCTCATCACTCCGCACGGTCCGACAGCTCTGCGGGGTCCCAGTGCTTGTCCCGCACCTCCCGAGCCCACTTCCTGGTTTTCTCCCCACTGCCAGCCCTGTCCTCGTGCTCCTTCCACGCTTGACTGTCCCTGGAGGTGGGCCTGCTGGCCCAAACGCTGTGTGCCCTGGAAACCCTGATAGAAACTGATAAATGTCCCTCCAAAAAGGTGACAGCCAACGTACTTCCCCAGCGAGAACCAGGGGAAGCAGACTGCACAGAATGGTGTGGCTGCACCAACATCTGGAAAGGGCTTTCAGTCACTCATTGATTCCACACATTTATTATGAGCTACCAGCTTACTACCTGCCCGCCACTGTCCCCAACCCTGAGGAGACATCAGCAAACACCACAAAGCCCCCTCCTGGAGCTGACGTCCTTCGGGGAGGGCACATCGTAAGCAACGAACCAACGAGATGTGGTGTGGTGACAGGTTCTCTGAAGCAGATCTGAGCAGAGCGAGGGAGGTGCAAGGCGCTAGGCGGTGCTGGGGCGGAGACCATTGTACTGGACGGGCAGGGGCAGGCCGTGCAGGGGGTGGGCATGGTGGGAGGCACTCCAGGCAGAGGAGGCAGCCGGCACAAAGCCCCTGGGCAGCCAGTGTCCAAGACTCAGCCAGGCGGCCAGTGTGGCCAAAGCAGCATAATCCAGGGACAGGTACCAGCACCAGAACATGCAGTCTCATGGGCCATTGTAAGGAGGTTACTTTTACTCTGCATGAGTGAGATGGGGAGACACCGCCATGGTTCTGAGCGCAGGAGGGACCCGGTCTACCTTGGGTCCTGGTACGGTCCCTCTGGCTGCTGTGTTGAGAAGGAGCTGTTTGGGGTGAAGCGAAAAGCAGGGATGGGTGGCCCAGGTGGCAGATGGTGTGGGTTAGGCTCAGGGTGGTGGCCGGGTTCTAGACACACTGTGAAAGTGGATCCATTCTGTTTTGCTGATGGATGGGATGTGAGCTGTGAGAGAAAGTCAAGGGCGACTCTAGGGACTTTGGCCTGAGCATGGTGAGGCAGCTTTGGGGACAAGGGCAGGAAGAGCGGGTTTGGGCTGTGGCAGCTGGCTGTGTGATGGAACAAGAGTGCTCGCAGACCCAGCAGCCTGCCCGGCCCCTCTCCCTGGCTGTCCCCCAGACACCACACACTTGGCTTGTCCAAAACACAACTCCCCCTTTCCCCACATCTTCCGCCCAGCACCATTGCCTGGCAACGCACCCACCCCAGCCAGACTCCTGTGGTCCACCCCCACCATCACCCCCTCCAGCCAGCTGGCTCCTGTCAGCTTCCCCTCAGAACTCTCAGCTGCCGACTCCATTTTCCGGGGGCCGTCCTGGACCCTCTATCACCTGGGCTGCTGCAGCTGCTCCGGTCTGCAGCGGAGAAGGGGCTGGGCGGCTGAGTGGAGAACTGGACAAGTGAGAGGCTGACTGAATGGCTGGCCAGCCTCTGCACAGGTCTCGGCCAGCTGCTCTCCTCCAGCCCAGCCTCCACACCCTTCCTGAGTGATCTCTGAAAATACACACATCAATTGTGTCCCTTCTTCGACCATAAACTATTCAGAGCTCCCCAGGGCCTGCACAGACATATTTTGTTTAGCCTCCAGTGCTGTGGGGGTTTTTCAATCTTGAATTAATTAAAGAGCTGGGTTCCCCACTTCTCACTGGCACTGCCAGGATGCCTTTCTCCAGAGCAGTCTTGCCAGTGGAGTAGAGGGCCTCTCGGCAGGGGGCGCACTCCCTGTTTGCTGTAATCCTCACCACTCCCCACTGTTGTGCTGAGCCTTCTTCCCTGGCTTAAATTACCTGTCTGGCCCCAGCGGCATCAGAGCTTGTCACCCGTGGGCTAGAGGACAGAAGCATAATTTCTAGTAGCGCATTGCATGGGCTGGGCTGCCCAGGAAGCGGTAACTCGGATGAAGTTGAAAAGTTAGACTGTGGCCAGGTGTGGAGGGCCCTGAGGACCATCTTAGGAAATCAGGGCTCCTGGGAGCAGTGAAGCAGAGTGTGACATGGATGGGCTCATGTTTTTAGGCCAGGTCCTCTGGACACCAGGGGACCAGACGGGGGTGGGGAATCTGGTGGGGAGGCCTAGCCCCAGGAGGAGGGCGAGAGAGGGGCAGCCGGAGGAGGCCCTGCCCTCCCGGTCTGCCTGAGTCTGAGCCTGCTCTCTCTGTGTTTCAGACCCAGACCGCAGCCTGGCGCTGCAGCTCCGTCATGCGGGCCATTGGGCAGCGCTGAAGAGCCAGCCTGGCTACAGGGGCTTCGAAAGGACTCCAGTCCCCCAGGACCTCAGCCCTCAGCCCTCTGCTGCCCGCAGGATGGGCGCCTGGGGACTGCGTGCCCGGCCATGAGGGATTACTGCCCCTCTCCGCTGAAAGCCAGTGTGGTTCCACCCAGGCACACCCCTGCTCACAGCCCTGGCATGGACTCCAGACACGGCAGCCCCGGTGGGGCCGGTGGAGGGGCCTTCTGTTCCGAGGGTCCTGGCGGGAGCTTGGCCTGCCCACCCCTGACCTGCACTTCTCCCCAGGAGGCAGCCACCAAGGAGACAGTGGGGACACATGGAACCTCGATCTCCGGGACACCAGAAGTCACCTTCTCTGGAAAGCCAGAGCCTGTGTCCTCAGCAAAAACTGATCCCTCATCTTTGGAGAACAGAAATCCTATGTTTTCGGAGAAGATGGACTCCAAGTCTTCAAAGCAGGCAGATTCTACTTCCACAGGAAAGGAAGATGCTGGGCCCTTGAGCAAGGCAGGCCCCACGTTCATAGGAAAGGCGGAGCCTGCAGTCTTGGGGAAGGGGGATCCTGTGGCTTCTGCAAGGATGGATCCGGGGGCCCCAAGAAAGGAGGATCCTGGTTCCTGGGGAGAGGTAGACCCTGCATGCTTGAGCAAGGTGGACCAGGCATCCCCAAGGAGGGGGAATCCCGCACCCTCAGCCACAGTGGACCCTGCGCTCCCGAGACAGGAGGAGCCCAGGTATTCGGGACAAAAGCTTCCTGGGTCCTCAGAAGAGGCGGGTTCTGCACCTGCAGGCAAGGCAGATCTTGGGTCCTTGGGAAAGAGAGACCCCGGACCCTCAGGAAAGGTGCATCCCGGATCCTCAGAAAACACCAAGTCTGCATCTGCAGGAAAGACAGGTCCTGGGTCTGCTGGAATGCTGACTCCAGGGTTGTCCGGCAAAATCACGCCTACATCCCCCGGAACAGTGGCTCTGGGGTCGGCAGCAGGGGGCGGACTCCTGGAGACAACAGGCCCTGTGCCCGAGGGAAATGTGGAAATCATGTCCCCTGCCAAAGAGGATCCTCCGCCCCTGGGAGCGATGGACACTGCCTCCTCAGGAAAGGGAGACCCTGCATCTGTGGGAATGACAAAGACCGGGTCTGCTGGACAGGCAGCTGCTGTGTCTTTAAGCGAGGTGGGTCCAGCCTCTCTGGGAAAGGTGGACCCCACGTCCTCAGGAAAGCCAGAGCCCTGGTGTCCTAGGAAGGGCGAACTGACAGCTGCAGGAGAGACAGAAATTGTGTCCACGGGGAAGGAGCACCCAGTCTCCTCCCAAAAGGCGGGCCCCACCAGTGCTGTGGGAAATATAAAAACACCGTCTTCTGGAAAAGTGGATCCTGAATCTTCAGGGAAGACAGACCCTGTGCCCTCATTTCCAGGGGACCCCAAGCTTCTGGGAACAGTGGGATCCTCATCCTCTGTAGAAGCTGAGGCAGTGACTGGGGGGGAAGCAGCTCCACTGTCCTCAGAGAAGGCAGGTCCTGTGACCTCTGGGAAGGTGGGTCCCGTGGCCCTAGGGAGGGCCGATCCCCCCACCTTGGGCAAGGTGGACCCTGTGAGCGGGGGGAAGGCAGAAATCGTGCCCCTGGGAAAAGCAGTGGACTCCATGTCTTCAGGAAGGGTGGCCCCCACGACTCTAGGGAAAACAGCCCTGGCACCCTCAGGAAAGGCAGATGCTGTCCCAGAGGAAAAAGTGGATCCCCTGCCTCCAGAAAAGGGGAACCCTGAGAACTCCACAAAAGTGGACCCCAGTGCGTGGGGGAAAGCAGAACCCAAGTCCCAGGACAAAGCGGTGATGAAGCCTCCTGAGCAGGAGGGTCCCAATTCAACAGGAAAAATGGAGGCTGCGACTGGGCAAGAGAAGCCCCTGGCCTTGGAGAAGGGGGATCCTGGATCCTCAGGGGAAGCAGACCCTGTTGCCTCTGGGAAGGTGGAGCCTGTAGCCCTGGGGAGGGCCAACTCGGCACCACCTCGGGGAAAAGCAGAACCCGCATCCTTGGAGAATGCCGTCCCCATAACTCTGGATCAGGCAGAGGCCTCTCTCCCCTGGCAGTCAGATAGTAAAGCCTGTGGCTCAGACTATTCTCCCTCGGGTGCTGGAAGCGGTGGGGACCGCGTAGAACCCGCGCCAGCGAGTAGCACAGAGGTCTGCAGCCTGGGGCAGAAAGAACCCGTGGCCGCTGGAGCCCAGAGAAGCCCCCGCCCGGAGGCCGAAGCGCCCCCGCCTGGGCCGCGAACTCGTGACAACTTCACAAAGGTGCCGTCGTGGGATGCCAGTGCCCCGCCGCCACCGCGCGAGGACGCGGGCACTCAGGCGGGCGCGCAGCCCTGCGTGTCGGTGGCTGTGAGCCCTATGTCCCCGCAGGATGGCTCGGGCGGCCCGGCCTTCAGCTTCCAGGCGGCACCGCGCGAGCCCAGCCCCGCGCCTAGGCAGCCATCGCGCCGGGACGCGGGCCTGCAGGTGTCGATGGGGGCCGCGGAGACGCGCTCTGTGGCCACCGGGCCCATGACGCCGCAGGCCGCCGTGCCTCCCGAGGCGCCACCCGCCTTCCCTGAGGTGCGGGTGCGGCCCGGCTCGGTGCTGGCTGCCGCGGTGGCGCCCCCGGAGGCGGCCGAGCCCGTTCGCGATGTGAGCTGGGACGAAAAGGGCATGACGTGGGAGGTGTACGGCGCCGCCATGGAGGTGGAGGTGCTGGGCATGGCCATCCAGAAACATCTGGAGCGACAGATCGAGGAACACGGCCGCCAGGGGGCACCCGCGCCGCCGCCCGCCACCCGCCCGGGCCCCGACCGTGCTGGCTCAGTGCGCACCGCGCCTCCCGAGGGCAACGCCAAGCGCCCGCCTGGCCTTTTCCGCGCGCTGCTGCAGAGCGTGCGCCGGCCGCGGTGCTGCTCCCGGGCGGGACCCACGGCCGAGTGATCTGCCTCCCTTTTGTACGCCCGGGTTTCCAACCTCCTCAAGCCCCTTCTTGACCCCAGGCCTCGAGAAGGGATCCCCCTCGACACAGACAGGCCTCCGAGGTAGGGGCAGCCTCTGGGGCCTTCTCACTCCACCCTCTCCTCTCCCCTCCTAGATAAATGAACCCGCTCTACCCAGCTCCCTCCTGATCAGGAGTCCACAAGCCCAGCCCTGACACCCTACTGTCCCCTCACCGCTCTCAGCTCCACTCCCTCCGGGTCATCCCTGAGGGGCCTGCTCCATACCTCCCAGGCCTGAGAGCTGAGGCAGTCTCCTGGGATGTCCAGGCTGCTGGCTGCTGGTGGCAGCCAGGTCCCCAGAATGGGAGAGACTGTGTGCAAAACCTCCAAGTGTGCAAGAATTGGTGTGTGAGGCCCCAGTGTGCAAGGCTCTGAATGTGAGGCCCTGGGCGAGTGTGAGTGTGTGTGCTCGCCACGGGCTGGCCCCCATGGCCCGGGCATCTCTTGCATGCTAGTAGTCAGTCATCCCCGATCCCCACCTGCCCTCCCTGGGCCCACCCCAGCCCTATGTCCACCCTCACAGGACACGGTTCTGGATCTGGGAGCGGGAGGGGTGGGGGCGGCAGCTGCAAGCGTGCCCTGGCCCTACTGTTGAAAGAAGAGACACAGAAAGGTCAGAGGGCCTCAGACAGGCCTGGGGATAACAGCCAGGGTTACAGAAGGTCTCAGGCCACTGGCAGCCCGGTCTTAGGTAGTGGGGGCAGAATGGAGAGCTCATCATCGTACAACCACAGCTGCCCATTAAAGGCCTCCCTCTCCAACCCCCCATACTCCCTGTGCTGTGAGCCCCACAAGTCCCTGAGGACCACTCAGAGCCTCTGTCCCCACCCCTCCAGCCTTGGTTTTTGGCTACAAACTGTCACAATATACATTGGTAATAAAATATTCCCCCAACACTCGTCAGCTGTGATTGGCTACAAGCAGAAGGAGGCAATCATGATACATCACTATGATGTATTACTATGTTCGGGGAGGGTAGGTGTAGTATCGGGGAGACAGGATCTCTTCCGAGGTAGACCAGAAGCGTGGGGGCCCATGCAGGGCTCTGAGGTACGGCCCCATCACAGGTCTGTGGTGTCCAGGCCAGCATTGGTGAAGCCCACCTGCCTTCCGTCCAGCACCACACTCAGGGGCTCTGTCTCCTGCACCACCGCACTGTGCAGGGGCTCCTTCTGTATGGAGAGAGGGGGCATGTGAAGGCCGGGGCAAGGTGGGGTGATCTCCCCAGGCCCTACAACCAGATGGCTCCTTTGCTGGAGTCCCACCCTGCACCTCTAGGGACCTCAGTTCCTTGGCCGTGTCCCAGAGGTGGCCATGGCCACTGGAGGTACAGATGGGCTCAAGCGAAGTACTGGAAATGGGGCAGGGGCTCCTCTGGCCTTTGCCCCACCCATGGACACAGTGGCACTTTGCCCAGCCCTGAATAATGCCAGTCCAGCACGGGTCCTGCTACCCACCCCACCATGGGCACCATGTTGGAGCCTTCCAGCCATTACCTGACGCACCCACAGGAACCCCCTGAGGGAGGAGTCGTGTGCCCCATTTTCTAGATGTGGAAAGGGAAGCCTGGACGGCTCTCACGGCCAGCCAGGGGCAGAGCAGGGTTGAGGTAGCTGGTGGCCTTGCTGGCCATGGAGTCTGTGTGCAGCACCTCACAGCCTCTGGGTCAGCGGGAGCCTCGTAGGGGCAGGCTGCACCCAGGGTCCCGCCCTGCTCATCGTGGGGCGCATGCGCACACCTCCCCACGAGACATGCCGCATGCTCACACAGCTGGTCACACGCACCTCACAAGTGCCCCCTACAGGGGGCCAGCCAGCCCCCAGGCTCAGCCACTTCATAGCAGAGACCCCACAGGGCAGAACCCCACTCCCCCTTGGGTGCTGTAAGGGCCTTTCCAGACTGGAGATGTTCTGGTCCCTGGTAAAGAGGGCACCATCTGAGGGGCCCCAGCTCAGGCTAAACACTCTCCTTGCGCTCCCTGGAGCACTCGCCACGAACCCCCGCGGGGGGCCAGCCCAGGAAACGGCAAGGTGGCCCGGGAGACGGAAGCCCTCGGTTCTGGCCTGCCCTTGCTTCCCAAGCTTCCTGGTCGTGGGCGAGGCAGCACCCCTCCCTGACCTGGGTTGCTTCAAAAGGTAGGGTTGGGTGACCCCTCAGGTTTCTCATACCTTCCACACAAACACAGAGGTCTGGGGTGAGTCAGGGTAACAGGGATGGAAGGAAAAAATGCCCCTCACTGTGTTCCCCACGCAACCAAAGGAGAAGAGAGAGGGCCAGCCAGTTCCCAAGAAGGCCCCGTGGCCTCCTGGGCCTGCCCACTGCTACAGGCGAGTGTAGCAGGTGAGTGGGTGGAGCCTCAGGCAGAGTCTGGAAATATAAGGACCTTCTGCCATGCAGGACAGCCTTGACTCTCCTAGCTCCAAAGGCTCTCGGTGGCCCGGCACCTCCCTCTCCAGACCTTCCAGAGCTCTCCACCTTGCCCAGCCCCATTGCTGGGGCCCTCGGGGGGGTCAGCTTTGGCCTCACCGGGAGCCTCCTGTGTGGCCGAAAGACTGTTCGCTTCTGTCTCAGGTACCTGCAAGTATATTCACTGCAGTTTTCGCCCCAAATTGTCTTCAACCAGAGATGAGCCATTCCCCCGGAGACCCCGCCAGTGCCTGGTGGCCGGGATTGCCACTTGATGACCCATATCCCAGGGCCTGTTTGGAGGCCTCCATGTGACAGCCAGGTCCCTATGTGACATTCTGGTATGTTGTGGCCCCCAAGAGGCTTTGCTTGGCCAGGTCCTTTTGTGTAAGGCATCCACAAGGGAAATTATGCACTGAAGGAAGGGTGGGGCCCCCGGAGAGCAGAGCACAGCTGAGGGCAGGATCCAGATGGCGGTGGGTACCTAACCCCTCTCCTGATGCTCACAGAACCACAGACTATTAAGGTTCAGGGGGCCTTGGATCTTCTACTGCAATGATGGTTTTCAAAATGGGAAGGACTGAGATGGTAGTTCCTTCTGGCTCTGGTACCCCAACCCTCCAGGGAGAGGACCCACCACCCGCCCTGCCCACGGCTCTCCTCTCGGGCTTCTCAATCCTGCCTGTACCTGAGCACCCCGGGAGCTTTAACAACTCACACCGGACCCCCTCAGCCATCCGATCCAAGTCCCTGGGCTGTGTGACCTGCTAAGTCTAAGGAGCTCCCCACGTGTGTCCAGTCAACAGCCCTGGTTGTGCGAATTCTTGAGCTAACAGAACCAACTAAGCTATTGAACAAATGATGGTGCTATTGTTTATTTGAGCCTACTTGCTCTCCTTTGCTAGGTTATAGTCGCCTCCAGATCTCTTGCCCCCGACCCTGCTGCTTTTCTGTAAGGGACATAAAGGCAGGGACCAGATATTTCAGCCTTTGCTTTGTGCCAGCTGGTTTTGTGCCCACTCTATTGCACCCTCACAAGAGCTCTGCGTGGCTGGTGCTCCAATCGCTATTTGCAGGTGATAGAGCAGAACAAGAGGGAGAAGCCGCCCACCCAGGGTCACGGCGAACAGTAGAGGAGCCAAGATCGAATCCCATTCCAAAGCCACAAGGCGTCCTAGTGCCAGGAGCAAAGGCATGCCCAAGTCAGCAGCCGCTCCTTTGGCTCTGTTCTGAACCCACCCCTTCTGAGAAGGACCCCTGTCAGAACCCCTGGGCAACGACGCATCCCTCCTCTTGCCTTGATTTCCTGTTTGCTGCCTTCCAGATCCACAGAGTTGTCATCCAGGGAGTTGAGGCTGTGAGGGAGATGATGGAGTTCAGATAGGCGGCAGACCCAGTCCTCCCTGTCTGTGGTCAAGAACCACCACTGCCTCTACTACCTCTTCTACCTCACCATTAGCACCACCACCATCACCACCACCACCACCACCATCACCATCATTTTCACACCACCATCATCACACCACCATCACCATCACACCATCACTAACACCAGCATCACCACCACTATCACCATCACCACCATCACACCATCAATACCATCAGCACCACCACCATTACCACCACCATCACCATCCATCACCATTACGCTACCACTGTCACTGCCACCACCGTCACCATCACTACCACACCACCATCACACCACCACCATCACCACCACCATCATCACCATCACACCACTATCATCACCACCATCATCACTACCACCCACCAGCAGGGCTGTGAGGGGCGCTGCTCACCTGAGATGGTCTATGTCACTGGAGGAAGACTGGGACTCGAAGCCCAGGTCCTTGGTGGAGAGGTTCAGCACGGGGTTGGCCCTGGAGAGGAGGCCCAGTCAAGCAGACGTGGGCCTCAGCTGCCCGGGAGGGCCTCTCACCCACCCTTGGAGCCCCACTCACCGCTCAGTGGTGTACATGTTGGTCCCAGGGATGGCAGAGGCCGGGGGCATCACCCCTGCTGCTGTTTTCCGGGCCTCCTTGGCAGCCTTTACAGCCCGAAGCTGCCGGCGGTAGCTGTGGGGAGCCAGGAAGTATAGGTCACTACTTCCCCTGGTCACCCAGCATGTGCACGGTGCAGGCCCTGGGCACGTGACTTCACCACGACCCTGGCACGTGAAAGTATCGGCTCCATTTTTCAGGGAGTACAAGTAACAGTGAGAGAAGGGAAAGGATTTGCCAAAGGCCCCACAGTTGACCAGTGGCAAGGCCTAGAATCAAACCCAGATGTGGCTGCTAACTACATATGTATCAGAAAAGGGAAAAGAAACAGCATTTTTTCAATGCATTGTGTGTGCCAGGACAGCTCGCCAGGTGTGAGATGCATGCTGCTCCCTTGAGGGCTTTGAGGAATCTAGTATCATGCCCATTGTGCAGATGAGGAAACTGAGGCTCCGGGAGGGAGACGACCTACTTGAGATGGCACAACAGGTCTCTGGGGATTGAATACAGATACACCTTCCACAGACTACACCCCAGCTCTTTTTCACCCTCCCCTGATGTCCAGGTGGGGGTCAAGTGGGAGAGGCAAGGCTGGAGACATGGGGTGGTGGGGACAGCACCTCTTGCGGGCACACACGAAGGCCGTGGACATGATCACGATGACCAGCACCAAAGCCACGCCCAGTCCTACGATGATACTACGCAACAACGTTGTCTCATCCGACTTCGGTCTGTCCTGGGAGCCCTGCAGAAGGGGTGTGAGGGCGGTTCTGGGGAGGACATGCCCCACCCCACCCCCCACTACTTCTGCCCTGCTGTCACTCACCAGCACCACAAGCCCCAGCTGCAGCAGCTGTGTCAGCGAGTCCTGGTCCTCCCGGATCACCCTGCCCACAGAGCGCTGCTCAGGCCCGAGGCACATGGGCATCCCCTGGCCACCGGTCACCCTCCCGCCCACCCCAAGGGCAGCCCACTCACACATTCAGCTGGTCAAGCGTCAGGGCTGTCCCGTTCGGGAAGACGAAGTAGGCGTCGAGGTAGGAACGGCCTCGGGCCCTGGCAGGGGACAGGGGGCAGGGGGCAGTGGTGGAGAGTGAACAGCAGCCTAGAACCACCCAGGAGGCCCTCCTGCTGCTTCTCCTCCTCACCCCAACCGCCGGGCCTGCGGGCTCTCACCGTGCCTTGGATTCTATGTCCCGAATGTCCACGATGTAAACAGTTGTCCTGGTCGCCTGGGTAAGAGCCCTACAAAGGGGGCAGGTGTCACAGAGGCCTGGGGGAGGGGCCCTAAACCAGGCCTGTGGCCAGGACTCTGCCAGCGGAAGTGAGAATCGTGTGACTCAAAGAGGGGCACTTCCACTCACAGCTCCATCGACCGAGCAGACAGCACCCGTGGGCGTGTGGACCAGGAAGTCCCTTCCCCTGGGGGTGGGTTCACAGCTTAGCAAGC